CGTAATGGATTGTTTTCTGTGCTAACTGGGTCGGCAAGGTGTATTGACGGGACAATCAATCATGAATAGATACGAAAGGACCACACATTTGTAGCCTCTCAAAATGAAAATCGTAGGCAGGATATCGCCTCGGCAGATGATGAGACGCTTGCGAATTGCTTCGATAAAATACAAAATGATTCACATAAATCAAAAAGAACTTGGAGGATGAGACAGGGATCTACTCACTCTCCCCACCCCCGACTCCCTAAGCCGTCCAAAACACCCACCTGACGAGAATTACATAAGTGGGATCTGAGAGGTGTTTCTATTTTCGCGTACAGAGAAGTAGAAAGAAATTAGGCAAAAACAAGATATACAGATACACATATCAGTGTCCGTGTACAAAGTCACCTGGATGAAATTGGCAAGACACCTCGTGACTCAAACGCGGCGAAGTAAAACGACCGAAGAGATGAGATCACAGCCGTCAAACATGTGCGTGTACTTTAAACATTGTCCGTATGTCATTTTTACTTGAAATCAAAGTGAATGAGCAACCGACCGACCGATCGATTGACCGTTATTTCAAATATTTTGTAAAACCAAACAGTCCGAGCGCAAACGGTCCCCAGGGAACAACCACTTTCTGAGAATCCATGTGGAGACAGAGCTGTCCAGAACGGATATGTTCAACACATGGAAGTGAAAACGGCTTTGACGGCGGTCCTGATAGTGCGAAAATAAGAAGAGGAACATGATCACTGGCCGAGGAGCGTTGCAGATTTTTAATCGAATGGCGAAGAAAACATTCCGAAAATATTGAAGATGAAAATAGCAACAAATGAAAAACATCCAATGGAAAAACTTCCTTAAAACTCGTTGGAAACACGAAGAACCGGCTTTCTGATGCATCGCGTCAGGCAGTAACACGGTCCAACTTACTTTGGATCCCGTGATTGATAGAATATTCTTACAAAGTTCTTTTGGGGAAGGTGGTGGTGAACACCGTCTCTCGACCAAATCTGAGATCAGTGTGGTGTTGTACGACCGAGTATTGTATACTAATAACCGTTTGCGTAAGAAGATTAGCTTAGCTGCAGTCAGGGTTTCTTTTGAAGAAACGACTCGTTAAATCCGACGTGGCGAACACCACAAGCGCACGGAATTTGATACAGAACGAACGGATTGAACTGAAGAGACAATAAACACCTTACTATTTTAGTAACCTCCCTCTTCAAATGATTTGCCACCCTGCGAATGCAGTGTAACAAATGCCTACGGGTAGATTTTTGCCCGAGTACATGCTTTTGTGTCATCAGGTAGTATTGGTACCACAAACACGTAAATCCTCCCCATTGGAGCCCTAGGCCAGAAAACTTGTAAAACACCATTTATCTCAGGGAAGCAAATGTGTATTTTTTCACCAGTTTTTTTTCAATACGTTCCTCTCTCGATACAACCTCCTTGAAAATGAGATTGTTGGAACGGTGTGAAATCACACTTGGTGTGCCGAGCAACTGTGTCTGTCCCCGATGCGTATTTACTTTTACTCTGGCGATATTTCTCTGAACAGCCACAACAATGACGCGATGATGTTGAAGTTCAAAATACAGCGTAAAAATTCCTCAAACACTGTTGCAACCAAGTACATTCATTTACGATGCTCGTAAACAAGCACTTACCGCGCGTAGGGTATGTATGACAGGGAATACCAGGTCAGCGACAGCGACTGACAGATGCAAAATATAAGACATAGCAGCTTATTTTTCCACTGGAACATGAGAGAGTGTGTAAGAGCGAGAAAGCGACGTGCATGACTTACCAGAACAACCGAACAAATGGTCAGTATCATAAACACCTGCACGTTCCGGGGAACAGAGAGAGTAAAGACGGAATGAACAAAAAAAGATACTAAACTGACCAGCATGATAACAGCAGCAAAAATGCGTGTCTCCTCGAACATACGCTTCAATTGGTTCAAAGGGCCCATGAGAAATAGTGTACTGTGGACGCAACCAGATTAACCACGACTGGTATAAGTTGAACCTACCTGCCGATCGAGAACAGATTACCCAGGGTATAAAACATGCCAAATAGCACCAATCCGTTTGCGGGAATCCAAAAGAACAATGAGCCCTACAGCCGATGGGGATTGTAAGCCAGAATTCGCAAACAAAACGACTTACCAATAGCGATAAAACAATTCCGACTACGAAACAAATGATGAAACCACGAATTCTAGCTCCCCAGCCAAGGGAAAAACAATTTTCTGTCTGCAAAACAAATGGTTTATGCAGTTGAATGGCCAATTGAGAAGCTTACGTCAGGCAAAATACTTGTTTCATCTTCCTGCGTGGAGAACGCGTTTCTGATCCGATCCATTTACAGTCCGCAATTTACGAATCCGTGGCCAGTACCGATAGTAGAAAAACGTACAACCTGAAGCGAGACAATCATTTCGGTTAGTTTAGGAGCGAGAGACCGACAGACAAACAGAATATTAGTTTCAGTTTGTACGACCGATAGCCATGCACTTTCTTGTGCCGGTTTTGGTTGCTGTCTTTTGGCTGCCCCTTTGGATGAAGCAGTAAGAGAAACACAGAAAAGTTGGAAGTAGAGTCGAAGAGAAAAATGAAAACTTACGTGGACTAATGTTGTAAGAAAATTGAGATGCACGAACGCCATTGTTTATGACACAGCCCTATTGATCATTGTCTCCGACCACCGGTTACCAACATCCCGAGGTTTCCAGCCAGGGAGCCTAACAGGACCTATGTGACTCAGTGTTCTAGTTAGGGCTTTCATATTTTCTTAACAGATTTTAGTTTGACCGTCCTTGGCATTATTCCACCCACTACCTTTCTCGGCAAACATCGCTCGCCGTGGTAACATATTTGGCGACATGCGTAACACATGACCCAACAAACGTTATCCATACCTTATCTTATCTTATACCTTTAGAGATAGCTTATTTCTCGAGTAACTAAGGGGTCTGAAGGCACACTGATTCAAATTCAGCAACGCCGTCTAGATCGATGGGCAGAACATTTTAAGGCTCAGTTCACCTGGCCCTCATCAGCACAAGACCTCCTTATACCCGGTTCAACTGTGCAAACACTGCCAGTTGGTATCAGTCCTCCATCTGAAATGGAGGTTACTCGAGAAATCATCATCATCCTCGTACAGCGAAATACAGTGAGGATGATGATTTCTCGAGTAACCTCCATTTCAGATGGAGGAGTGACGTCAATGATAGTATTTGCGCAGTTTAAGCGGGTAGGGGGATATCTTGTGCCGACGGGGACCAGTTGAACTGAGCCTTAAAATGTTCTGTCCATCGATCTAGACGGCGTTGCTGGATTTGAATCAGTGCAGTCAGACTCCTTAATTGCCACACTTACGCTTACCTTCCTTGATCCTGTACTCCTAATTATCGGAAAAGATTGTGACTATTACCGATAGCCGCAATCCTCTCCATCCCTCTACACTTTCCTACCAACCACTGCTCGCGGTTAATCCTCAGACTCTTGATGAGCTGGCGTTCGAGGGAGTATTTTGCATCCGAGCGTCCAGCAGGGCAACCGAGGTCTGGGAGATCTATCGTTTTTTACTTGATCCCGTTCCAAATTTGCCGTTGTTTTGATCGACGTTCGGATCGCTTCCAGTCCAGTGTTCAGTGAGTCCTCTGGCTGATGGTGGAGCTGAGGCGATCTGACGGTTCCGCTTCGAAGGCCGATTTGCAAACATCGCTGATACTGTATTGTGGGCATCCGTTTTCGGTGGCTTTTCTGCGGTTGTTTATCAAGCGTAAGGAGAATCTCGCTCACAGCAGAGCACGGTCCGTGTCTACGGGTGTTGACCAGTAGGAGCGGCAGTTCTCAATGGATCCACCCCAGCGATGGCTGATCGCGATGTGGTCGATTTGAGTCCAGCGCTGTGAAGCGGTTGGCGGTCTCCATGTAAGCCGGTGTCGTTTCTGATGCAAGTTCGGGCTTGAAGGAAACCACTAATGATGTGGCCTTTTTACTTTGTAACAGACCCGGATGGACGGGACTGGTGAAGAGCCCTTCCTTTTCAGGCAGACGAACTACCATCCGGACAGGTGGGACAAGTGCGTGGCATTTATTTAACGACGTGAGTAGTCAGCTCTCGAGCGAAAATCGTTTTTATAATACAAAATCCATCTGGTCCATGGAGTACGTACTAGAGTGCAGTATAGCATCCACGTCGCACGTGAACTGGTTGAAGTCACCGATGATCATCGGGCATTCCAGACTACTGGCTACGGTTTGTTCCTGAGTTTTTAATGGTGTTGGTTTTTATACAGTGGGGCGAAATTTGCTGGGATGATGCGAACGTTCCGCCGCCATGAATAGGCTATCTTACGATAGGAGATGCAGCCACCAACGGACAGCTTTTCTGGGACCCAACGAGCTACACAGTATGGCTTTTGTCAAGCCAGGAGATCTTATCATGCCTGGAAGGTCAATGGGTAGAGGTCAGGCGAAGTCTAGTTTCCTGGTCATCCAGCTTGGAGGTTCGGCTGGAATTTGCGTTTCAGTCGGTAAAAAAAGGTCGGGGAGTAATCGATCAAAGTAAATAGGCCTCTACTTCGCTTCACCCGCTGCCCTGCGGTTAGGTTCTTGTTAGAACTAAAGGCTTTGGACGAGAACCCTAATCTTTCTCATTCTTATTGGCTGGACACCCTGGCAGTACCCGTCCATCAAACCCCAAGGCATACACAAACTAAAAATGATTTCATACTGCATCGGTCGTCGTGCAGGATAATCAGGACCGCGCTGCCTAATGCATCGAGCGGGGTGGGTAGTGATAAGTGAGCTACTGCGTAGACATCCCAACCTTTGTTTAATTCTTTGTCTTCAGCACCCAGTCCTCTCCATTTGCCCCTCCTTACAACCTCTAATAGGCCCTCAAACAACTTGGATGTCGCTAGCCAAAGGTCGTTGCCAAATAGTACTGTAAGTATTGTACTACGAAATTAATTGCAGACTCTAAAGCCTCGTCAATCACTGAATTTGGGGGCCTTCGACGTGAGGACTCCGATGCAGGTGGGTCAACAAGCATGCCTGGTTCGTACAATGGAATCCTTAGGAATCGATATTTGCTGCGTGTCGGAAACTCGAATCCATGATCCTACAACTACAAGCCACTTGAGCGCGCCAGATTTGTCGTCGAGATCAGTTCTTCGCACATCAGGCGATGATGAAGCTCGTTCAGTAGGTCAGCGTGGAGTAGGTATTGTACTCAGTAACAGGGTGGAGTCCCCTCTTATCGACTGGATCCCCGTCAACAGTCGTTTATGTACTGTGCGTCTCCAGGGTTCAATCGGTGTCCG